AAGTTATTTAAGGTACTTGGCAGATGCAGATGCGATGCAGCCATATCAGTAGCAATATTGGGCAGTTAGGGTTGGGAAGGTCGGGGATAATGAATAGTTGAAGAAATAGTGGGAGATAAGAAGTAAGTTAAAACGGATAGTTATTATCCCATGCATCTCCCGTCCCCTGCAGTATACCCAATTGATTGGTGGTATACTGTTGATACCCCTTTCATATTCTTTTGCTCACTATCTAATTATTAACGGGCATTTCTGCATACTCCATGCAAGATGGACGACCACTACGCAATTTAGCCTGCATTCAAGGCCGGCTGGCTGAGGAACTGGAATGTCCAGCACATCTCCAAGACCATCCAAGAATGGCTGCGAACAGCTTCAATCTTGGCGCAACACGCGAGGAGCCGCCGATCGTCGGCTTTGCTATTTGGATCGTCCCAATAAACCGTATTCCTGGATCCTTTGAACAACATCAAACCATAATATCATCACCAACTAATATAATGCTATTATCTAATCCGGGGGACCCACGCACACAAAGGAAAAAAAACCACTGGGACTTTGTTAGTATTAGTATTAGTATTAGTATTTTTTAGTTTTAACCTTCCAGGCTTAGGCTTGACTTGACTCTCTTCTTTCTTCTTGTCTCCGCTTCCCCTCAATTTCTGCATCCACTTTTCCCTTTCTTCACCTCATCTCTTTTCCACCATTTTACTCACACAATCTCCCTCTCCACTATAACCTCTCTCTTTTATCTTCCTATATATTATCTTCAAGATCATGCTTTGATCCGATCATGGCCCGACCTTCCTGTCCCCCCTCGTCTTCCCTCTTCGCCCTTGTCGCCCCAACTTCGTCATGCAAGACCAACGGCCCGAGGTTCTCACCGTCTCCATCGTCTTCTTCGTCATCGCAACTGTCTTCGTGGCCCTGCGCTTTATCTCCCGTATTTTTATTGTCCAGAAGGTCGCCCTCCATGACTATTTGATGCTTTTGGCCTGGGTACGTTTTCTTACTTTTCCCCGTCCTTCCTCTCGTCTTGAGTCAGCTCCTCATCTCCGATCTTCCCGCAGGTCCTCGACTTCGGCTTCTCCTTCTCCCTCTTCTATGCCACCCACAAAGGTCTGGGTCTGCACGACTCCGATATTCGCGAGGACCAGCGCGCTGGCCTCAATCGCGCCGACTATGCCTTCACCGTCCTCTACGTGAGTCGCCCGGGACTCCTTCCTCCGCCATCGCTCCCCTCTGACTGCCCCAGAACCCGGCCCTCATGGCCGTCAAAACTTCCATCCTGGTCTTCTACCTAACCCTCACCCAAGGCGAGAAGGTCTTTCGCTTGGCCAACTACGTCACCCTTTTCGTCGTCAATGCCGCTGGACTCGCTCTCACCCTCGTCAATGTCTTCCAATGCCGTCCCGTCAGCGCCGCCGTTTCCTATCCCTTGCCCGAGGGTGCCAAGTGCATCGATATCCTGACTCTATACTTGTCCTCGTCCCCGGTCAACATTGTTACCGATCTGGCCATTCTCTTCCTGCCCAATCCCATTCTTACGCAAATGCGACTGCCGCGCAAACAAAAGATCATCCTCGTCATCACCTTCAGTTTTGGATTCTTTGTCGCCGTCGTCGACGTCATTCGCATTGCCTACATTCAAGATGCGGCCACCTCACGTCAGATCGCGTTGAAACAAGTCCATCTGCAGGATACTCCGGGCGATGACCTCAGCTGTACGTCTCCTGTCCTTTCTTTTTCCCTATTTCCTGCTGATCGCCCCAGGGTACGGGGCGTTTTCATTCATGTGGTCCGTCATCGAAGTCAACGTTTCCGTCATCTGTGCCTGTGTGCCCAGTCTCAAGCCGCTCGTCGCGCGACTCATCCCGAAGCTGATCCGTGACACTGACGGGAGCTCCCAGGCCACAGACCTTCCCCTACCCGCCCCCGATCCTCCCCCTGAGCTCCCGACCATCACCGGGCCTCCTACTGCCCGGCGCGCGTCGCGCTCACAGCAGTCCGCTATACAGGACAATAAGCCGTCGCATTCGGAGAGTCGCAGCAGTCAGGCCGCTTCGGCCCGGGTCGATCTGGCTGATATGTTGACCACCGGGCCCGAGGCGCCTCCGGATGTTGAGAACCGAACGAACACCGTCACCACCACCACGTCGTACCCCCCTAGCATCACCTTCTTCGATTTTGTCAATATGAAGAAGCCGGCCAATATGTTAAAGCTGAGCAACAAGGAGTCCATCGCGCCGATCGCGCTGACCACCATATTGTTCTTCCTCTGGGGATTTGCCTACGGCTTGCTGGCTATTCTGAATGAGCAGATCCAGGATATCCTGCGTCTAGACATCTGGCAGTCGTTTGGTCTCCATGCGGTCTACTTTGGGGGGTATCTGGTGGCGCCGACGTTTGTTGGGGGCGTCGTGCTGAAGCGCTGGGGGTTCAAGTGCACTTTCATTACCGGGCTGTGCATTTACGCCTGCGGCACTCTGGTCTTCTGGCCGTCAGCCGTACTGACCTCGTACCCTGGTTTCATCGTGTCCAATTTCATAGTGGGCAGCGGTCTGGCGGTGCTCGAGACGGCCGCCAATCCGTTCATTGCGCTATGCGGACCGCTCGAAAACTCGGAGATTCGGCTGAACATCTCGCAGGGTGTGCAGGCGATCGGCAGCGTCGTGTCGCAGCTGCTGGCCAAGAAGGTTCTATTCAAAGCTGTAACCGACGTGAGCACTCTAGTTGACGTGCAGTGGACGTACTTGGGCATCGCACTGTTCGATGTGCTTCTCGCTCTCGCTTTCTATTACCTGCCTATTCCGGAGGCATCAGACGAGGATCTCGAGGAATTGGCCAACCGCCGCCGCGCCGACAACCGGGCCACTGTCGCTGGCGTCCCCGTAGTCTGGCTCACGCTGGGGCTCGGTGTGTGGTCTCAGTTTTTCTACTGTGCCGGCCAAGAAGTGATATCGATGAGCTTCGACAGCTACGTCCGCGCCGTGCATCCGCTGTCCTACCTGAGTCCCTTCGAACAGCTCACGGTCGCGCACACGGTGTTCGCGATCGGTCGCTTTCTCGCCGCCTTTTTGCAATGGTTCCTCAAACCCCGCTGGATACTTATGCTCTCTTACATCGGCATGATTCTCTTCTCCATCCTGTGCATGAAAATGACCGGGCGGGCCGCCGAGGCTATGGCTATGATGGTGTACCTGTTCGAGAGCGGCGCATTCAGCATCATCTTCGCCATCTCGCTGCGCGGTACCGGTCGACACACGAAGACTGCGACCGTACTGCTCACAGTAGCCATCAGCGGCGGTGCCTTCTTCCCATTCGCGCAGTACGCTGCCGAGCTGGTAGGCGGGATCCGCTATTCCTACTGCGTGCTGGTGGCGCTCTTCAGCGCGGGCGCCATCTTCCCCATTTACCTCAACGTAGTACCGGCAGCCAAGAAACAAGTGGACCCGGTACCAAACGAGCATCTGCGGCATCCCCGCCGGCGCAGTCGCATCAAAGCCAACGTGATGGCGCGCGAAAAGGAGAACCCATCGGTGGGTGGGGTCCTCTCGCGCCGGCGCAGCGTAGTGTCGGAGCCGTTGCCGACGGTGCAGCTAGCCGACCACACGAAGCAGACGTCGGGGGGATTGATGCATGAATTGGCACCATGGCCAGAGCACGGGGGAGAGCGTGCAGAGCGGGCTGATTAGCCTTTTTTTTTTTCTTCTCTTCTTTCGTTCTACTATACCATTGTTGTTTTGACTATCTCTACGGGAGGAGATTTGCCATGATACCCTATACTTTTGGATTGTGTTTTAGCGTGGAGTTGGCTGTTGCATTGCTGGAGTCTTGTACATATATACTTGCATATATGCGAACTAGCTATGATGAAGTAGTTAGTGCATTTATTAATACTGACATTATACCATTGGTGATGAAGAGTAATCAGAGAGATAATGTAGGCCCGCGAAAATTAGTAGCAACACTACTACCTACGATTACCTCATAGTACAACATTAGTAAAAACACCTAAGATGCAAACTACCCAAATAGTACCTAATCCATCCGCCTCTCTCCCAACTGTTTAGTATCTTGCCACCGATCTGCAAGCATAATCATCACTTCAGGTTATCTGTGCGTCTTTCTCCACGAACCAACCAACCGACTAATTCGTCTTAAGTATGGACAGGTAGTCGCGTAGACCAACCACATTTGTTAGGTTGCAAGAATAAGAAAGGACGGGAAGAAAAAGGCAACAACGTCCGTCCATCATGAGCCGCAAGAGGGAGTTCTTCCGACACAGTCTTGACGTGACAGTGAGCTCAGTAAGTACTTAGTTTCCTACTTGCTAAATACATACAAACCTACACATGATCTTAACTCCATCTCCGACACCCCCAACTCTTCCATAACCCAATCAATCATAAGCAGTCTTGGGGGGAGTAAGGAACGGTCTTGGGAGGCATATCTCGTGAGGGGATCACAGTAGACTTTGCCGTCATATGGAAGAGTTCGTGAAGTGCATTGCTTTTCAGAACTGTCATCTCAGCTAATCACTAACCGATCAGGAATTCATTAGAATGAGGACTCGGCAGTTGGCTGATTCATGGTTACCCTGTGTATATGGATTAAGGTAATTAACATGACTCGTGAGATTTACTTCAATCATGCAGAGCAATGTGTACGGTCAAGTATGCTAGAGTTTCAGTCAAGATGTGATAGGAGGACGAATAATAGACTAATTACTACTAGTGAATGCGGTTCCATGGGTTTGTGCATATAGTGGGACTATGATGCATGCGTCAAGCATTAGTGATGATTGTGAGTTTGAGAATGTTTGTCTACGGTTACGATAGTATCTGAAACTACAAGATTTATGGATTATGGATTGAAAAGGATATCATTATGCATCCATCTAAAACTACCAAAACACCGGCGCCTCTATCCATCGCGCTGAAAGGGAACATCAAACTGCATAATCATCATGACATAAGCCGTAGGGTCGGCTTTCGCATTTACCACCAGTCACCCTGGTCCTTCATGGCGGCAGCCACCTTGGTGAAACCGGCAATGTTGGATCCGGTCACCAGGGAAGGCAGGACACCCTCGGCGGGGGTGGCGTACTCCTGAGCAGTCTCGAGACCGTTCTTGAAGCAGTCGCGCATGATGTCCTTGAGACGGGCATCAACCTCCTCAGAAGTCCAGCTGAGGCGGGCAGAGTTCTGAGCCATCTCCAGACCGGAGACAGCGACACCACCGGCGTTGGCGGCCTTACCGGGGGCGTACCAGATGGCAGCAGCGCCGGAGTTGGCGGTACGGTGGGCCTCGAAGGTGTCGATGGCCTCCTGGGTGCAACCCATGTTGGAACCCTCGGCGATGAACTTGCAGCCAGCGTTGATGAGGACCTGGGCCTCCTCGCCGGAAACCTCGTTCTGGGTGGCGGAGGGGAGAGCGACATCGACCTTGCCGACGTGAACCCAGGGGCGGGCACCGGCAATGTACTTGAACTTGTTGGCGTCGCTGAAGGGAGCGGCACCGACGATGCTGGCGAGCTGCTTGCGCTCAACCTTGGTCTGAGCAATGAGCTCGATCTCCTCGGGGGTGAAGCTACCCTCGCCGTTGATGATGAGGGAGCCCTGGCTGTCGCTCAGGGAGACGACGGAACCGCCAAGCTCGATGACCTTGAGGGCGGCGTACTGGGCAACGTTACCGGAACCGGAGATGGCAACGCGCTTGCCCTTGAAGGACTCCTGGCCGTTGGTGGCGTGAGCAATCATGTGCTCGACGTACTATTTATCGTTAGTACTGTATTCGAAGACTTGATGTTAAAGGATTGACATACGTAGACAACACCGTAACCGGTGGCCTCAGGGCGGATGAGGGAACCACCCCAGCTGCCACCCTTACCGGTGAGAACACCCTCCCACTGGTTGCGGATCTTGCGGTACTGGCCGAAGAGGAAACCGACCTCACGACCGGTGACACCAATGTCACCAGCGGGAACGTCAGTGTCGGCACCGATGTGCTTGCAGAGCTCGGTCATGAAAGAAACACAGAAGCGACGGATCTCGTTGTCGGACTTGCCCTTGGGGTCGAAGTCGGAACCACCCTTACCACCACCCATGTTCAGGCCAGTGAGAGCATTCTTGAAGATCTGCTCGAAACCAAGGAACTTGAGGATGGACAAGTTGACGGAGGGGTGGAAACGGAGACCACCCTTGTAGGGACCGAGGGCGCTGTTGAACTGGACACGGAAACCGCGGTTGACCTGGACGTTGCCGGCATCATCCTCCCAGACGACACGGAACTGGATGACACGCTCGGGGACGGAGACGACGGCGAGAGCCTTGCGGTATTCGGGGTTCTTCTGGAAGAGGGTGGAGTTCTCAAGGGTCGAGGCAAGCTCTGAAGAAGATTGATGTTAGATTTTTTTACCCTTTCTTTTATTTTCGTAAAGGAGGGACAATTGAACATACCCTTGTAGGCCTGCTCGAACTCGGGCTCGTGAGGAAGGTTAGACATTTTGAAGGGAGGATTGATTGAGAGAACTTTTTAACTGGGGTATCTAGAAAACAGGAATATATAAAGAAAGATGAGAGAAAGAGAAGTAGTCTGAAGAAGAAAGAGAGAAGGGAGAAGGAGAAAAGAAGAAGAAGATGGCGAGGGGGAAAGGCCGATTTATGTTTTCGAGGAGGGGAGGGGCGAGGGCGGGGAGAGAGTCAGAATAGAGGGAGTGGATAGTATGAGAGGGAGAACAGCCGGAGTCGGACATAAAGTCCCCCCTCCCTCAGGCCATCCACTGTATAGTAAGTAGGCTAGGGAGTCTCCGCTGCAGGCGGGCATTTCCTGGCAACGCCCCAAACGGCAAATGATGCCGGCTTCCGGGGCGGGTTTAACGGTGGCGCCGAAGTTCGGGCTGTTAGTCGATACTTTGAGGTCACAGAATCTGTCCGTTATCTATCGGCGGGAATCCGCTGGCCCGCCCGCCAATGGCAGTTGCCCGCTCTGCCATCGGGAGGAATCGGGTGGCAACGGAAGTATTAGGGTAGGGTAGGGTAGGATTTTTTAATTGCTTTCGAAGCGAGAGAGAAAATTCTTCTCTTCATTATTTTGAGCCATTGGTACAAGCCAGACAAGAATTCTTTTCCCTCGGAATCCATTAGTTTAGTTTTTTTACTATAGTATAAGCAATACGCCGTCGCAATCTAGACTTGTTGGAATCTGGAGAGAAACTCGCATTTGCCTGCACGCCAAGAGATCCTGCAGACTGGCGGATCACCTGATTACTCCTCTCCTATTGGCCTGGTTCCCCCCGCTGCACGGGAGGTGCTTATCAGATGTCCGGATTTCCTTTACCTACTCGTATCGTCAAATCCTCTGCACTCAGCCAATACAACCTCATCTTCCCTCTCTTTCCCCCTTCACTCTGTCTATCTATTTCCCCTCGTCACCCCCTCCCCGGAGATCATTCCTCCGAAATTAGGACACTATACAATTTACACAGACACGTTGCCTTCTCTCCCCATGTTCCCCGGTGAGCCCCGACGTGGGGGAATGGGCGGCAATCACGGTGATTCCCATACTTTAAAGCGTTGTCACGGTCGGACACGGTTCACTGGGCGGTCTGATCATGCGACCACCATGGGGAGTTCACCGGTGAGCCTGAATCAGTCTAAGTAGGTTTCTCACAGGAGGGAATACAGGATTACACTTGGTTGCCAACCAGTCCAGGCGATGTCGGTGTCACATCACTGTCCCATTAGATTTAATCTTCTGCCAATAATGCTTGGAAATAGTGACTGGTAGGTAGAGAATGATTGCAGTGTCGGGAACTTCTCTTGGATGAGTTTCTTGGAATTGGAGGTCCCCGATACATGTGAATTCCTGTAATCGAATAATTAAATCATGGGAGATTCAATCAAGAAGGGCATAACTAATTAAACTTGTTGGAATGGTTTCTATAATTAATTATGGTTATTCAACCAGTGAATTAGACTTACTCGATGCATTTACATAGTCACTAAGTAGGGTAGTAGGATAATCACTTGCAAATGTGGTAGCGCCGAGTTGCCGTTGCATGTCAAAGTTTCCCGACTCAACATGGAGTGGGACCCGTTTTTGCCTATCAGTTGCCTCGCTAATCCTTACCGTACTGCCCCGGGCCAATCAGCAATCCACACTAACAAAGCATCACGATTCACACGCCGGCTCTTGCTCTCCCCACATCCCGGAATGTTAGTTGGAAGATCGCCAAGCGGACTAATGCATCCTCCCCCAACTCTGATATACTTCGAGGGGCGCAGGTTGGTCATGATGCTTGATGGGTCATTATTCATATTGATTGGGTGGAAGTGAGAGGAAAAAGTTAATTGTGCCATCGTGGGGGCTGCGTGGGTTTGGGGGTGACTCGGTACGGGAAGGTTTAAGTGCCGGGGATGGTTCGCTGGTTGGCCTGGTTCGAATCTGGGGTGCTGTTCATGGTGTCTGGTTCAGATGAACTATTTGCTACATATGGGGTTGATGATGAAGAGATGTGACTGCTAGCAGGATTAACCTTTGATTTGTTGTCTGTGCTGTCCCGTGCTGCCTGTGTAATGTAACTACTATGTATGGGTGAATCCGATTCCTTCCGTAGTCACATTGTTCGGGAGTTGAATGCCTGACTCTTAGGGCATTCATCCATCCGTCTATCAATGGGGATGATGAATCCTCGACTATTTACTGCTTCAATTGCCTTTTGATATTGGATATTCCAGATAAGTAGGTGTATAAAATCCTCTATTTCCTCCTACTGCTTTCTCCTCTTCTCCATCTCCATCATGACTTGGCCTCTATATATGATATCCTCAACCACAGAACGGACTATTCAACCTATAACCCTAATTTGTTGACTCTATATACTCATAGTCTATACATGGTCCATCAACACTCCATTATAGTCTTCCTGAATCGATCACGCGATCCACCTGCCTAGAGACTACGAAGACAGGCAGCCGAAGAATGCCTGTTGAGCGGGCTTGCCCTAAATTCACAAACCAAGCTAGAGAAATAAATATATACGGCATACCATCCTACGCATGAAAGGTCTTGGGCACCAATTTCTTCGAGGGTATTACCTCGCTATGACCAAAGAACCGGTTCCCACTCGCTCATCATCCATGACCAAGTTGAACCTTGCATGTGTCAGAGGAGAGATAGCCAAATGTTCAACAGGCCCATCGGGACTATTTAGGACGAGGAAGAGGTAGAAAATTCGACATATCATATCGACCATGTCGGGTATGTTCACTATAAAAGTCCATCATACTTACTCTGGTACGTATCCCAAGGGTATACAAAGCTACAAACGTATTGGTGCAATCACTAATGAGAAATCGTATAATATAGTATACATCCTAGCTCCTGAAACCGATGAAGAACATGATCTGTGGTTGTGGCTGGGATAGTGGAAATACCACTGCTAAGCACATCCTCATGAAAGGGGATTATTCCTAGTCCGAATCTGGGACGTGATTGAATAAGGCTGGATACAGGACCCTAAAGGGGGGCCTGATGAAGATGCACAGTCACTATCATACAGAAATGTCATCTCGACAGAAAAGGCTTAGTCTTAGCTACTGAAGATCTCAATACCAAACTCTACACGGCCAGACGACTCTCATAGCATTCGTCTGGGATATAAGGGGAAGACACTTTCGTCCCCTTCATTCGTCCAGCTTACTGGCCGGAAACAGACATGTGGCCATTTATCTTATGTGGCGGCTTTCTCGAACGGGATCCAACAATTTCGGAAGCTTGTCTGGCATGTCTGAGTCCTTCACCTACTTTTCTTTCCACCAGCATTCTGGTTCTTGATGGTAATGGTAAACCAGCATCGCCTCCAAACATGCCACTCGTCTGGATTCCCATTCGATAACAGCATGAACCTGCTGGATGATGTGATATCCTGGTCAGATACTTCCGGCGTGAATATATATTTATATACAACAGCAGGCGCGTTTCAAACTATCTCAGATGGTTGTTTGATGCAAACCCCAGCCCTAGAAGGCACATATCATCCTCCGAGAGATGAAAGGCCCTTCTGGAAGACACTCTGGACTACCCTGTACAGGTTCCAAGCCTGGCAAGACATTGGCTACAGCGCCCAAAACATCTAACAAGCATTATACGAGACTAGATGTACGCTTTCACAATTTCACGCCCTGGATATAATTATTCCCAGGATTCAGATGACATCGAAATGCTGAGAGAGACACGACAATGCCTGCTCGATAGGAGAACTCACAACTAGCCACGGCTATGAATTATATATTTCAACATGCAAGAGATTTTGAAAGAGGCCATATCAAGATGGCTGAACCATCTCAGACAAGCCAACGGTCCCCGAAGATCTCCGGCGCCTAATTGTATTCACGACGCAAACAGATGATTTGCTTCAAAAGATCACAGATCCTCAGCTGAGAGCCTATAAAGCATCAAAATTAGGCAAATCAAACCGGTAGCCATCAACAACTCTATCACAATAAGGACACTGTCTTAAAGTCAAACAATCCAGACGATCTGGTCGTATCAAAGTTCGCTTCTACTACGCGGGCAACCCGATGAGGTTAGCAAAGACATCGGATGAAACATCAGATAACCAGACGTGAACACAGAGCAGTTCGGTATCAGACATAAAGTGCTCGAAAAACTATTCAGCGTTGGATGACGAGAATTCGGACAAAAACCCTCGCAGTCAGACGAGGAGGGAAACGAAGTATCTCCGGCTGCAGAGGCAGCGACGTCGTGGGCTGCGATGAACACAGTAAACCCGGACGTTGGGACTGAGTGACAGTTGTCCGGTGGCCAAGATGGGCTTGAGGAACAGCCAGGAAAGTCCCACCTCTCGCTCGAGAGCATTACCCTCGCCAAGTGGACGATTCTGAGATACAGCACCGACAATGGAATAACCCGGTATGTTCCGTCGAGCTAGTACCTTGCCTTGCCCTATAAGAAGAGCATACCTTGGCAGCCCAACCACCAGAGAGCACATGGTCTGCGAGAAATCCTCTCCAATTGAGCGCTTCTCGAGAGATCGATGGGATATTCCTAGCCTTCGAGAAATTGACTTCCTGCTACTTATGTGGTTGTGGTTTTTGTCGGCTACTGGAGGGGCAGAATCAATGACGAGCAAATTGTAAATATTGCTCTTGAGACAGCGACTACTCTCATAGAATGCGGCTTTGGTGGTATCAGTGGCCAACTCTTGGTCCGGCTTGCTCCTTATGGGATTTCTCTCGGACAATGCTGTTACCTTAGGATGGAACAAGGTCTTACGGGAGCACCCGGTACCTACAGTCGCCCAAGGACATTGCCATGGGGCGTATTCCTGAACCTAACGGAGAGCCGGGATTATGTGAGTCAGTACGGGCAGTGACTAGATGTTATCCACTGTGTGCTTATTTTTAATACCTACAGAGCAACAAGCACATAACCATGTTCAACTCGTCCAGGCAACATGTCCTAATATAACGATCCTCTCGCTCTGCTACCACTTCTGTATCGGTAAGCCCTGCAAAGTTGGAATCTACATCGGTACAACTGGCACCTCCTCGCGCGGACTGACGCTTACCCACGCCGCACACATAATCTTGATGGAGACCGACTGGTGCAGTACGAACCACAAACAGATGTTTGGCCGGTGCCATCGGATCGGTCAGAGAGCCAAAGTCGTGTTCGCATATGTCTTCCAAAATACCCAAATCGAATGCGAGCAACTTGCCCTCGAGAAGCATTTAGCACGATTAGCACTGGGAAAGACAATAGACTCCTACGACCGAAAATGAACAATTATTCCCCCCCGGGGGTCCCCCGCAGCATCAGCGAACCGCAGAATCGAGAAAGACAGATCTCATAGAAATGCCTGTGGAGAGGGCTGTACAGTGGGAAGGATTGACGAATCAACTGAACCACATATCGGAAACTGCTTTTAGATAAAGCGAGCAAATGAGAGCCATGGAGAACCCATGACTATTACACCCATACCTGCACAGTGGATACCTATCGCATTACTTCTTCAACTCCTATCTTCGAAGTCTGCTGCAGAAATTACCGTATTCCGAAAGTGAAGACACCGGGGTCTTGTCCTCGTCGATAATTCTCCGAACCGGTTCTCCTTAAGGTCCGTGACCATCTTAATGTGGCAGTCACAAGTTGAAGAGAGGGCTCATGTGTGCCCTAGACAACAGAAAGACACGCACCAAATATTGCTGACATGATTGTGTGTTATCGACAGACGACTGCTTAGGGCTGTACAAAATATGATATACCCCTGAAACAAGAGCCAGAACATATCGTCTGCCATTCAAGATTGCTAACCCTGCTGCCCATGTTAATAAAGCAATCCTTCTAGAACACTGAATATGAGGAGGTTAAAAGCCAAACCAGTACCACCGAAGATGCCTAAGGAGGCAGAGATGAAGGACGAGTCCACACAAGTAGGATGGACGACCAACTTGCCGCTCAAGGTGTCGACCACTACAGGCGCAATAGAAACGCAAGCCTTCGAGCCGGTTTATCTTAAGCCAGAAATGGGGAATAGTTTATGGAAGTTTGCCACCGCAGATGGCCAGACTATTGCAGATCTGGGTAAACATGAATCATTATTTTCCCAGCATTTGGTCCAGGATGGATCATTTTTGCGTTAACATCAATCAACAGACATGTTAGTGTTGTATGATCTTTGCCTCAAACATCTGGAAACGTTTATCTCGATTAGCAGCAAGAGAAGAGAAGAATTTCTCTACAATCAAAACGCATCATTGGTTTTGAAACTGCTATGACAAATACTAATTAGACGTGTGACATTAATCTTTCATACAATGATTGATTCTCGTTGGCCTTTTGCGCATTAGGGCTGTCTGTGTCTGCATGACCGCCATGTCTAGCTGTCATACAATCCCGCGCGATGTGGACGAGGTTGATCCCTTCTGGAGAATAGAGCGCATATTACGGGTATTATCGACCTGGATCATGCTCAACAAGACTCAAAAGACCTGAGGTCCATATGCGATGGTTGACGAAAACAACGACAAATTGTCAGAGGATGCGACATGTCTCCCGTCAGAGCATCACGTCCACCGATCATGGTTACAGGCTTCCCGGCCGACTGACCATTGAAGTGGCTTGAACCATGCATAATAGCATTTGCAGAACTAGTATCTAAGGAGACAGAAGTCGAAAGGCGATTTACGCTTTCCCTCAATTATGATATGGCTATGCATCTCTCACTGTCGAACATCGACCACCCGTTGCTACCGGGGTCCCAGCGACACGCCCGCCAACAGAGTGCAAACCTACGAAGAGAAGCAGCAGAAATTCTGAGTCTGTTCACTCTGTGCTGTTTCTCGTACCCTGATATATGGTCAAGAGTTGAAAGTACTGGCGATGTGGCCGCTGATAGCAAGAATATAGTCTGGCATGTCACCATGTAAAGCTCCCACTGGTTGGGTACTCCAGATATCAGCGATTCTCTATATATATGGTATCAAGCTGTACGAAGCACGGACATGTGTTTCACGAACATCAGATTGACAATGTGAAGTCTCAGCTAGCATAGTTGTTCCGCACCATCTCTTCAAGGAGTCACCAAGCAGCTGTGGCTAGCCGTTTACTACTTTCCGACTATTCGGTAACTTTCTTCATCTAGGTATACCCAATGTGGGAAAGCCAACTGCTTGGCGGACGACTGAGGCACTGCCTGCGGGCCCTGTTGCTACTAGAATTGGCAAAGCAACGACAATCTGAATAGTGCACTTCGGCTCTGTCTTCCGCTACGGCCGCTGCGGCCCCTCCTACTGCTGTCGCGGTAAGTTATCCCCTCCCGCGAGTGCACGCGGGAGGCTAATAACAAGCAGCCTCTGTTGCCTGAGGTGGGCTTCACTCCTGTTACCTCTATGCAAGGGCGAAACGGTGATTCCCTCGAATGTGTTGGCCGCCCCGGTCACCAAGGGCGCTTGGGTCCGCGGACCACGCCCGTCTCCCGCGGGCACTCCTAGGGCTCAGTGAGATCGTTAAAAATTGCAGTCGGGCTTCGTCTCAATTCGTGGATCTGCCTGCGGCAAGCTGGTTCGCCAGAATGTCCGCGGAGCACCCAGCCGTGCTGCAGGACTCCCTCCCTGGAGAGGGCAGTAGTCCCTCTTGGGCCGAGAACGCCACTGGATTGCGGAACCGGTTCTACGTTCGGTGCCCTTCTCATGCCCCAGTATCAGGTTATCGGGGCGTGAAAATTCTCAGACATTGGTGCCTCGCCCTACAATTTGAATCTAGCAGCCACAGCCAACTTCATCGTCGGACAGACAAGACATCATAAGAAGCAGTTTGAGGCTCTCGATTGTGTTCTGGGAAAAACCCGAACAAGATGTGGGTATGTTTACTATGTTCAACCCAGAGGCCTATGCTGAGGCCGCTCCGCAAAGTCATATTCAAGCGGTGACCAAAACGGTCCATGGGCTGCGAATATACTTTTCACCCTATCTCGTTGAAGCGACTGAGGGAGGTGGTCTACTGATGGCTGGGTATGAACGTTAGCTTATTTCTTACTCCCTCTCTACAATGTAGCCCCAAGCGGCTACTACCCTTGCACCATCCGTCGGTTGTTCGGTTTATACCCTTGAGCTGGTGTTCCTGTCGAGAAAGTCTCGTGCCGATGATATATCTACGTTGTGTGCATTACCTGCATCAGCATATTTCTCAGGAACTGATCGAAATACCACTCAACAAGCATTGAAGGATGTCTCAAGACCCAATCTTGTTGCTGTTGTCCCCATTGAACATTCAGTGGGAGGATGGACTCATCAGCAGAGCAATCGCAATGGACACATGGGGCACCACAAATACCTGCCATGCGAATGGTCTGGACTAAGACATTCGATGCACAGAAGTGGCTGCTTGAAGTTCGTCGTGCCGTTGCCAGCCTCTCTCGTTTACATCTCTTCCTTTACATCTTGGGTCCATGTCAGCTGGAAAAGACTGGCAGCGTGTATGGTGCTTGCATTAGTTTTAGCATCTATACCATCTGTCCGGGGGCCTTTGGGCAGGGCCACGTAAAGACGCGGACGATGCTCTTGCGATGTGCTCTACAGCCGCCGCAATTTTCATGCAGCAGCAACCTTGCAATATATAACATTCTCACACGAAGCTGAAACTTCATTCTGTTCATTATATCGTTTGATAAATGCCAGAAGAAACCCTTGACCAAGCGCAAACAGGCAACGAATCTATCGTGTGCCTGGTTTGGTAGATGGTGTGATCAACGAGATGATAACAGGAAATGAATGCGGCATGGATATGGCTATGGACATATATTGGCGAGAGAAACTGAGATTCTATCCAAGGATCACTGGGCTCAAGTATTTTCGTTTTGATGGTCCATAGTTCGTTCCAGGAAGGACACAGAAATAATCTGTCTCATCGGCATGACTGTGCATATGCAACCTTAATCTGGTGTCCAACAACTGCATTACTGGATGAAGTACCTATCCATGAAGCTCACCGGTGTTCCCAAATATCTACCATGTTCCACTCTTCGAAATAGCACCCTCTACTTATTACATCTATCTACCCCATATATGGTGTAGAGCGAGAGTCCTTCACCCACTAACAGCCCATGAAACGGCAGGCGAACGTCCTTGTAACCAACATTCGCCAGGTCCATATATATATATACACGAAGTCATCGTGGTCGAAGGCTGCCACCGCTACAAGAACTGCTGCAGGAACCACTGGTAATACCACAGCTAAGACTGCCACCACTACAAGCGCTGCCGAAACAAAGCCAGAGTCCGAGTCAGAGTTGGATGATTCTAGCCTGTCCAGCCTGTGCAGCCTGTCCACTGATGGGCAGGGCGAGAAAGAAGGGGCAGCTTGGGAGCACGAGCCGCTGACAGACAGGAAGAAGCTCATCCTGGAGCGACAATCACATATCTTTGACCTCAAAGCCATGCGGTCTTCGAAATCAACCTTACATTAACAGAGCGACTATATCAGAGAAATCAGGCCTGTCCAAAGGAGCGACAGATACTGAAGAGAATATGTGCGTTGCGGACGAACACAAAATGAAGTCAGAGGATACGACCCGGCCACAACGAAAGCTTCATCCATCTCCCAATACCTTCATCCCGTGTCTGAGGGTTTCTTCTGGCTATAATCATCCCTACAAGATCTCCTTCGCAATGGTCTTCTCATCGTCTTCCTGGGCGAGGGCTTACCTTTCGACCACAATATCATCGGCAATGGAAAGTCGAGAATGATTCGTTCGAAGAATACAGATCTGCAAGGCACTCATTGCATGTGCCACGAATCGCACAGACTATGTACGGAATTGCAGCACTCCCCGTTGGCGGCAGACATTTTACTTGCTTCGCCACAAATGTATACATGAAAACTATCTGGGAAACTACTGGATCTCTGTCTCTCCGGGACTAGACATGAGTTGACAAAATCCTGGAGCAACACGCTACACTGCATATCTTCTGTGGCTCCTCGAACCACTGCCGGCTGCGCTTTTTCTATACATATAAATGGATGCATTAGTCTAGCAAGATGATTTCCAAGTGTGAGATGTGATCGTGACTGGTGATGTCCAGAGCGAATGTTGCAGGGCAGCGACTACGACAGGCCTTGGAAGTTCGAATTCCAATCCTGCAAGCCTGATAAATCAGATCTATCTGAGCGATGATGAAAATATAAGCCAGTGTACACAACTCGAAGAATTGAGCATGGCGCGGCGCATCGCATATGGAATCTGTTTCATCCGTCTTCCAGCAGAGATTGTCCTGATGTTTTCTGGGCTGCTTGCCACAGCATGACCTTACACAGGTCGTGCTGGTGTGCAAGAATTGGAACGAGAAATGGCTTTCAAGAGGGATAAATTCGTATTGAGGAAAATAAACCTACTTTGGTTGAGGAACTGAGGAAATGCGAGGAACTGGCCACATGTGCTACAAGTTCCTTTTGGCTTTATGCTCGTTTCTTGCCCTTCCTAGCACAGGATGACCTGGCACCAGTTTCTTTTGATTTTCTAAGGCTTGGTATCAGATATGGTTGAAGAAGATACGAACCCGTGCGTTGCCGCGGTTGGGGGTTAGAACTTCGCACTATCCTCTGATCTGCAAAGGAAGGGCAGGCCAAGTTGGCAGCAGAGGACAGGGTGACTTTATCGCCCTATCTTTAATGTCAATACCAATCTGGTTTTGACTACAAATGTCCTCGTCCAAATTGTATCAGGGACACTGGATGAGACAGTACATGAGATATTTAAATCAGGCGACTCATACTTCGCAGTCGTCTCCAGGCAAACCTGGCAGATACCAGAGGGTCGAGTGCAAAATTCCCCACAAACATGGGTAGCTACATGACATCTCTCTATATTTGCCCCTTTGGGGATGGCACTGCCAGAAAGGCGAGTGCTCGGACAGTGACGGATGGGTATCCAGACACCTCAAAACACATCGTGGAAACAGTCCAGAAGTAACTGGCATAAAAAACCCTTCTTGCCGCTATCAGGGCACTGTGCTAAAGATATGTTGTAGGAGAGCTTAAGACATTGGCGTTCCGCGTTCCGGTTACCCACAGTCCAGCATCTTCAATGGGCGTTGGTGTTAGGGAACGTATTGTTGTCTGCTGCTTCTAATCTTAGACTAACTCGCCCCTATACCGGGGTAATGGTACCGCAGGGAGACTGGGATGTTTCATCACATCCTACCGCAGACCATCAATGACAATACCTGCGCAGCTCGGTTGAGACAGCTACTGAAACATCTTATGGTCAGAAGAGTCACCGCCTGGGAAGTACCGATTGGCTCTAAGCGTTCCACTGAACGCGACATCCCGCCTATGGTGAGAAATGTCTATGAAGAACCACTTACTCCAGAGGAGCATGAGACGTACGATGCATACTGGAACAAGTAGTGAGCAATTACACTTGTTGAAAAATTCCACGATACAAAGGTGTGTGACGATTTGGCGACACCGAAACGGTGGCTGCTAACATGTAAGTCAACCAACATGGGGCTTAATGCTGAATCTTTACATTACTGACTTGTAATAGGGCTGGGACTGCGAGGAATAGTTTCCTCCATAAATACCCCACTGCTTACAAGGACGAACATCAGCTGGCAGTCTTGTGAAAGAGGCCATTGTACAGATAAAATCTGCTCGAAAACATTGCAGCAACCGGGAAGAGTTGCCCTAGAGAAATACTGCCACTCACATATACGGCCATGCTGCAGTTAGCTGCATTTACTGAGGGGGTACAAAACCGGCGACAATGAGTATAGCCCGTTCGTCTATGAGCGGGTTTCACTGGGTCAATGACACAGTCACTATAAACAATGACACAGTCAAAAAGTCCACTTCCTCAGCATTTTGGTATAGAGCCCAGCCAGAGATCGGAAGCGGTGTTTGTTTCCTTGTACATGTGAACGCTACCTTGATGGCGGTGGTTCAGCGGAATGGAATGAGGTATGCTACTTCTTTCATCAGTCTCAATCAAACACATTGCGCAGGGTCTATTCCAAAGACTAGTTGACGCACTATATTTGTGTTGGCGAGGACTCGTTCGAGGGCTATGACATTGTTTCCATGCCTCGCTTATATAGCATTTTCGAGCCCTGTTCCTATCATGCTCGCAAGCTTCGAAGCCTGAAGTACATAATATGGCGAACTTGATTTTCAAATTTAAAGGAGGTTATAAATCTTCACACGCGAGCTATGGGGCTGTTCCACTTGACAGAAACTGGCATTACCGATTTGCTTCCGTACTGCCAACAAGAATGGAGATGATCTGCACCGTCCGTTAAAGAGCTAATAAACCGCACGGTTGCAGATACGCTCATCTCTTATCCTTGGCTCTTTGGCCGACGCCGTTCACCGGGCGAGGTGTCGAAGAACCATGATCCGGTTGGAGATTGGCTTGAGAACACCTCGCAGCAGTGTTTCGAAAACCTTTCTGTCCATGTTTGCGAGCAGCAAGATGGCCCGCGTGGCACTGACGATT